GGCTCAATCCCCTTTGATGACCTCACACTGGGGCTTCCCACAGGGCGGAGGAGCATAGACCAGTAAGTGATTTCTGGGACACAAGCTGCTGGTGCACTTCATGATACCTCAAGGCCACTGTGCAAGACCATCCCCTTCTTTCTCAAGGAGACCTTTGGCTTCCGAGTTCAAATCATTAACTGGCTGAGAGAGCAGAAGCCTTAGAAGCCCCACTCAGCGAGGCTGCAGCTCAGTCGAGTCAGGCCCCTTCTGCCCCTCATGCACCTGGCACTTCAGGCAAGAAACCACATTCTCTGCATTCAAACTCCCTTCCTCATAATAAGCAGAAAACCAGAGCTTGTGTTTCTCCTTATCCTGAGGTGCTGGTTGAAATGCGTGCTGGAGCACCCTTGGGTGTAAAGCCAGTTGTCTGCAAGCAGGTGTCTGTTAGCAGCTGGGATGCCGCCCTCTGCTGAGGTGGGGTCTCCCTGGGCCCCCTAGGGTCTTAGGGGCAGACTCAGACCTGGTGAATGAGGGCTCTCCAAGATACTGCTGGTTCTAGAAACAACAGCTAGTGACAGCACAGAGTCCAGCAGTCACATCTGGAATCTCAGGACACTCTGTTCTCAAGCCACAGCTTCTAGTCAATTCTACACAACTTCTCTCCTTCCACGTACAGAACTGATGGGAAGTCATCACTGCTCCTCAGAGAGTTCCCATTTCCTTGACCCTTCCACTGTCACATGTTCTTTTATTTTTTGGGGGGAGGAAGATCAGCCCTGAGCTAACATCCATGCCAATCCTCCTCTTTTTGCTGAGGAAGACCGGCCCTGAGCTAACATCTACTGCCAATCCTCCTCCTTTTTTTTCCCCCTTTTTCTCCCCAAAGCCCCAGTAGATAGTTGTATGTCATAGTTGCACATCCTTCTAGTTGCTGTATGTGGGACGTGGCCTCAGCATGGCCTGACAAGCGGTGCGTAGGTATACACCCGGGATCCGAACGCAGGCCGCCAGTAGCGGAGCACGCGCACTTAACCGCTAACCCACGGGGCCGGCCCTGTCCCATGTTCTTTTAAACACACCTCATGCTCTCGAGGTGCGGCCCCAGAGCAGGCGTAGGCAGCCTGGGCAGAGGGTGGTGGTCTGGGGCTTGGAGCCACCCCAGCCTTCCCAGGGCAGTGGCGCAAGTGGGTGAAGAGCAAGGTGCTAGTGAGACTGAGGGCTTTACATTCTCTTTCCAAATGATTTCAAGTGATTGGAATCTTCTTTAAAATATCCTGTGCCTGAGGGTCTAAGAGACCAGGTGTGAGGGTGTGGCTGAGGGCTGGGGGGGCCTCTTCTGTCTCCTCTTCCTCGCCTCCCCTCTGCTTTGTCTTGAAAACGGATGGCTGATACCTGCATCCAATTCAAGTGTAAAACAAGTTGGGAGGGGCCGGCCCGGTGGTGTAGGGGTTAAATTCCTGCATGCGCTCCCCTCTGCAGTTTTGCAGTTCAGATCCCAGGCGCGGACCTACTCATCGCTCATCAAGCCATGCTCAGGTGGCATCCCACATAAGAACTAGAAGGACCTACAACTAGGATATACAGCTATGTACTGGGGAGAGAAACAACAAAAAGAAAAAGAGGAAGATTGGCAACAGATGTTAGCGCAGGGCCAATCTTCCTCAAACAAACAAACAAACAAAAAAAACAACCTGGGAACCGTATCTTGGAACCCTTCCCAGGCTGCGTATCTCTCCTATGCCAACGGCTGTGCTTGCCTGGCTAGCATCAAGCTGCTCTTGAGGGCGGGGGACCTTGACTTGGTTTTGTTGTTTCTCTCTGGGCTAAAACCGTCGGGCACGCTGTGTGTGAGTACTCGATGAAGGATTCTGTCCACCAGGTCACTGAAACGCCCAGCTATTTCCACATGGCCCTCCAGCCCGGGAATTAAGTCTCCGCCAAGCGGGGGCTCAGAAAAGCAGGCACTGCAAGTGCAGCAGCAGGCCAACAGACGGAAGCTGGGAAGGCCCCATTCCCGCTGGGCTGAGGCCGGCTCCGCCCCACCCAGCTGAACACAGGACTACCAGAGTCTAGACCCAAAGGGCTAGCCGCGTCCTCAGCTGGTCTCCGCGCCGTGCACAGCTCTTGACGTGCTCTCCGTGGGCAGCTTTACCTCTAGTGTAGAGTTCTGGGGTTTGTGCAGCCGACATAAATTCCAAGAAGCAAACACACGCCTGGCCCCCATCCACGTCTTGAGAGTTTCCTGTCGTCCAGGAGTCGGTGCACAGCACTCACAGCTGCACCTCATCAGCTCCGAGAGGCACAAGAGGTAGCCAAGGGGCTGGCCTGAAAACGGTCCCACTATCTGGAAAGGCTTGTGCTCTGAGAAGCCGCTGGAATCAGCCCCAGAGGCCCTCTTCCTGGGCCTGCTCCATGGAGACCCCCAGTCAGAGCAGTGACTGGAGGGTGAACAGCCGCACATCCTACCAGGCGGCACACACGCTGTTGCCCAGTATCCCGCTTCTCCGCCCCGAGACAAACACTCCTGTTTGTCTGCAGGCAGGCAGTGCAGCTGGACCCCGAGATGGGCCCAAAGACCGGAACGCAGGAGGACAGGAGGGGCTTCAGGGTGGTTCAGGGAGCCCGTGGCCCAGCTCCCATGGTGGACCCCCCCAGGGTCACAGGGATGGACAGGGTTACTCCTAACTCAATTCTGCTCCCAGGCCTGCCGCCCTCACCCCCAGCCCAGCTTCCCACTGCCGCGAGCTGGAATCTAGGGGGATGGCTGGGGGTGTGGGACCTGACGGCCTGACAGGGACTCCCAAAGACTTCCTGGTGCCCCCAGGAGACTGTAAGGACGAGGACTCTGGGTGGCCTGGCTCCCTCCCGGCGCAGCCCGGGAAGAGCTGGATGGAGCTGCCCAGGGACTGCTCCTCTGACAAGTAAAGCAGGTATCCACTTTCTGAAACCCTGTGCTTGCTTCTTATCGGAAATCAGCCACTTAGAGACTACCTAAGGAAAGTGATTTAAATAAATAAGGAGGGAAATCGATCCTCTTCTACGGGAAACTTTTGGGAAAACTTCCTTTTCGAGGCGATCTACTGCATGGTGTGCTTAGGAACGCTGAGTGCTTGAAGCACTCGCCCTAGTCCTCCTCAGAGAAGGTGCGTGTGCGGGACGACAGGATGCTCCACAGGGTCTTCCAAGCGAGGTGCGGGGAGGGAGACAGGATACTGGCCCCTCCCCCCATGCAGCCCTGTTGGGAGAATGTGACCACAGGGAGGCAGAGCAAGGGACAGGAGAGTGGGACAGCAGCTCTTCTTCTGGCACGAGCCAAGGAAAGGGAAAGTGGAAGGAACTCAGCTGATATGTCTGCTAGGAACTCTGGTAGGAAAAAATCCTAAAATAGGTAAAATCCCCAGGGAACTGACGGACAGACGTTTCTCAGGACCCACGATTCTCCAACGACCCCCTGCCTTTGGGGAACGTGACCCCGGCGGCGGGAGCCTCGCCTGCTGCAGCAGTGCAGGACCCCTGCAGACGGTGATCCATAGCAATGGGCCTGGAGCTCCCAGGGCCGGCCGGAGCCCTGCTTGCCTGCTTGGTGTCCACACAGGCCGGAAACACTCTGGAGCTTCAGGAGCTGGAGAAGAGTGGTGCGCCACTGCCCAGGCATTGATGTGGAGAGGGCCGAGAGTAGACCAGTTCCCAGAGGGCTCTTCAGACTATGAGGTCATTTCATCATTTCTGTGACTTGGGCAGGCTGTGTGACCTCTCTGAGCCTCAACTTCCTCTCCTGTCAATGAGGTTGCTCGTCCCTACACCTTGGGGTGCACGGCGATGACGATGGGGCAGCACGTGAAAACAGACAACAGTCAAGATGCTATTCCTACACAGAGCCCGAGGAGTGAAAAACCGCACAATGTCTTGGGCATGTGTGTCCATGATGTGGTACATGTGTGCCTTTTTATTCATTCACAGCCGCTGTGGGGCCTGGTCTGGGTGAGAGTCATCCCTGTGCTGGGTGTAGGGGCTCCAGAGGTGGTGCCACAGGCCCTCCCACTGGATTAGTCTGCGGGTGCAGAAGGGTCTGAGCAGAGCAGATGAAGATCTCTCCAAGCTCCTAGCAGCTTAATGGCTTTGTCCCACGTACAACAGTGCACTGAAGTTACGGACCTGGTCCCTTATCAGCTGTGCCAGTCGACACTCCCATCAGCAGCAAACACAGTCCGGGCCAGAAACCACATTCGCTCTGCCTTCAGGCCTTGCTGGGTGCCCTGCACAGCATATCCAGAACCCCACCTTCTTGCACCTCAAGGATGACGCCCTGGCCTGGCGATTCTCCAAGTGTGGGCCCCCAACCTGCCAGATCTGGGCAGCAAGTGGGTCTCAGCTGGGAGCTGACGGCCTGTCCAAGGGGGCCTCTCCATCACGCTTGGCTCTTCTCTGCTGCCCTCCCCTCCCAGCGATTCCCTCTGTTGCGTCTCCAGGTCGATGGCAGAATCCCTGTGACAAGGACAGGCCCTGGTACATCGTGGGCTGGCAGCACCTATGTGCTGGAGGGACGACCGGAAGATAGGGTCTCCAAGGTCGGTGACTGCTCACCAGCGCCCTAACCGCCCTGAGCTGTGTGTGGCTGTCCCCAGGCCCAGAGTCCAGCGCGGGAGCTTGCCTGGAGTGCTGTTAGCAGCACCTGCCTCTGCAGCTGCTCCTCAGTCCCTGAACACCAGGCTGGCCCAGTCCAAGACAGACAGCTGGGAATATGGGTGTGTTCTGGGCCAGCATCCCTGCCTTCCCTTTCAGAAAGGAAGGTGGGGAGGGGGAGGGGAGCGGGGTCCCGGAGCAGGACTTCAGAAGGCCCCCTGCCTTTCCTATCAGGAAACACATCCTGTTAGTGTCTGGCTGCTGTGGCCAGGCCGCTATTTGTTGCAGTTGGCTACGCCCTCCAGCTCACCAAAAACAGCCTCAAAAACAACCATTTCCTCTCTGCTGAGAGACAGGGAGAAAACGCACGCGCACGCACAGTCTCTCTCTCTCTCTCTCTCTCACACACACACACACACACACACACACACACACACACACACACGCACTTCCCTGCAGCAGGCGCTCTGCTTTCCAGGACCTGCTGTTTTGTGGCGGAGGCACTGGGCAGGGGTTCAGGCAGCTGAGAGGCCGCTGAACTCGCAGTGCTCCTCGGCCCTGCTCCGAGCCCGGCTCCCGCCGCTGGTTTTGCTCTGAGCGAGCTGGATCTCAGGAACGAGGCCCAGACTGACCCCCAGGTGGCTGCCTTCCTCTGTAGTTACTTTCTGTTTTCCCCACGAAGGCGAGAAGAGGCTTCGAAGCCTCCCTTGGCCTCCGAGTCCAAGGAAGACGGCGCACTCACGACTCTGGACTCCCGCTGGTGCCCTCACTTCCTCCCTGGGATGGGCCGAGCAGGTGGCTTCAGCTCAGGCCTGGCCCTGCTCCAGGTGCAGGAAGGAGGGTAAAGACGGCCGTGAGGTGGGCTCACCTGCACCTGTCGCATGGGCCTTCCCGACGCCTCGGACGCCTCCGAGAATGAGCGGTGATGTCCTCTAGCCGCCCCTAGCAGCGTCTCGGTTCTCCCTCGCCACAGCAGCTGACCAGGACTGGGACTTTCTCCACAACAAGCGGACACACCGGCAGTCAGTGATGACTGTCCAGAAACTGGTGGCCACGGCTGTGCTGGTGGCCCTCGTCTCTCTCATCCTTAACAACGCAGCGGCCTTCACCCCCAACTGGGTGTACCAGACGCTGGAGGATGGGCGCAAGCGGAGCGTGGGGCTGTGGAAGTCCTGCTGGCTGGCGGACAGGGCCCGGGCAGGGCCGAGCCCTGGGGCCAGACCGGGGCAGGCAGACGCGCGGGATTGTGAGGCCCTGGGCTGGGGCTCCGAGGCAGCAGGCTTCCAAGAGACACGAGGCACCGTCAAACGTGAGTCTGCTTATTTTTCTGTCTCCTTTAGAGCGGCTGGGGCCACTGGCCTTGCACAGCACACGGTGCGTTTGCTGATGGTGAGGGGTGCTCTGCTCTGAGGGGTGACAATGGCTTTCGGTTTGGAACCCAGGCAAGCCCTGAGCTCCACGCCCACCCTCCACTGGCGAGCCACAGGCACTTGTCAGTTCTGCTCAGCCCAGACCTGCCTGTGGGTCCTTTACAACAGAGAATTCCTCTTGTGCAGGAGTGGGGCTTTTTCTCTGCCATCATGCACAGCTAAAGGACAGATACATTAACCAAATCAAAGAAAATACTTTTTTCTTGGTGGAAAATGATGAATGTTAATAAGTAGAATAAATAAGGAGCTTCAAAACACGCGGCTGAGTTCTGACTTCACTTCACAGTTGTCAGGGTCGTTAAGGCCGTGAGCACAGAGGGAGACCCACTGGAGACGGACTGTAGGTGGGACATCAGGCAGGTGACTGGAGAGACTGACCGACTGCCGAAGGCAGAGAAGCGCCTCCGACGCGCCGTCTCAGGAGGGCAGAGCCCTTCGCTCCCTCCACCCGGCAGTCCTGTCCGGGGCCTGGTTGGTCATGTAGTGGCACTGTGTCTCTTTACCGCTCTGGAAGTTGGGAACTTGACTTTGAAAGCGGGGTCAGGCTTGAGTGGATGGGAGGGAAGGTTCGTAAGTATGAAGGTGCTTGTCACCTAATGTGTCATCTAAACAGTCCTGGCACCAATAGGCACAAGCCTCCCGGTGATGATCCTTTTTTTTTTTTTTTTTTTTTGTGAGGAGATCAGCCCTGAGCTAACATCCGCCAATCCTCCTCTTTTTTTGCTGAGGAAGACGGCCATGGGCCAACATCTGTGCCCATCTTCCTCCACTTTATATGGGACGCCGCCACAGCATGGCTTACCAAGCAGTGCGTCAGTGCGCGCCCGGGATCCGAACCAGGGAACCCCGGGCCGCCGCAGCGGAGCGCGCGCACTTAACCGCTTGCGCCACCGGGCCGGCCCCTGGTGATGATCCTTTAAAACTGCTGACGGGGGTCTAACTCGCGGGTCAGTGTAACCCGTTCTGAAGGCCACACGCGTCTTTGAGGTAGCGCAGGGCTTTGGCTGGCTGCTTTTGGACGGTGTTCCCCTAAGTCCTCAAGTAACAAGTGTGTGATGTACTCAGTGTGTGAATGTCCCCAACCTGCCGTTCCCTCGAGAAAACCCGGGGTGGGGGATGTCATCCCCACTTTACAGGCAAAGAAATGGAGCCTGCAGGAGGCACGTGGCTTGGCCAAGGCCCTCAGGGGGCTGCAACCCTGATCTGTCCACTCAGAGCCCCTCACTGCGCAGCCTGAGGGGCTCTTCTGTCAACGAGTGGCTGTGAGTGCTAGCTCCCCCTCGCCTCCTTTGCAAGCAGGGAACGACAACTTGTCTTTAAAAGATCAAAGTGCATGAATGATTTCAAAATTTCCTATGAGTTCTCAGAACTTAGGGGCCTCTGGGACGCCGGATAAATGCAGCTGACCTCGGGTCTCTGTACGATTTGCTGGTCGAGGGCGGTCCTTCTAGGTTCTGGGATTGTCCTGAGGAGCAATGAAAGCCAGCAACGCTGGCTCTAGTGTGGGCTCCGTGTGGCCCACACCTCTCCTTTCCACACCGTGTGCTCCCACAACCCAGGGGAGCCCCACACTAGCCCAGCCCCTGTGCCATTGCCACACAGGTGTCCTTGCCAGGCATCCATCCTCTCAGGCCAGGAGGACACACAGGGCCTGGGATGGGCTCTGCCTCCAGATGCCCACACAGCCAGCCCTCATGGCCTCCCTCCCACCCTGCCACGGGCCCCAAGTGGCCCCCGCTCACCTGTCTAAGCTCGTTTGCTGTCCCTCCCTGACCACCTGATAAGCTCCTTGAACAACTTTTAAAATACTCTGTTAATACAGCGTTTGCAGCAGCTGACCCTCAATAAATCTCTGAGCATCAAATATTTGTCCAAAACAAGGGAAACGTCCATGAAAGCTTCTCGTGAGCGAGACTGAGTTGAGGAAAATGAGTACATGGTGATTCTGGTGCTGACAAACTTCTCACCAGCTCCATGAGACTGAACACGACACAAACAAGGATAGCAAATCAGTATTCCCCAAGGAACTGTGATTCTAATGTGCATGCTGCCTCTGGTGGTCTCGAGCTGGGGGCTCCTGGCACCTTGTTTCTAGGCTCACCGTCTGCTGCCACCTTAAATCAAACCTGCACCCAGTCTCGTTAACTCTCACAAAATCCCAGCCCACGCTTTGCCCCTAACCGGCTGGGTGTAGAGATTGGGGAGGGGGAAAGGGGGAGGAGGGAGGAGGGAACAGGGAGTCGTCGGATGAGGCACGTTGGCGCAGTAGTTAACACCTTCCATACCACCCAGCCATCACTCTGCAAAATCATCTCCGTCTGTGATGGGGCAAGTGCATCCAGGTTGCAGGGCTGACAGCCTGAGGGAATGTGACATGTCACTTGTCACCCATCACACGTCCTGCTTCGCCCGAGAGCCAGGCTGTCCTAGAGATTCCAGACACGGTGTCAGGCAGCCAGGGGTAGCAGCCCAGGGACAGCCGACACACTCCTGCCAGCTGTGACCGAGGTCCTGGCAATGCCCGTGGAGCTCAGAGTCAGAGCCCCTCCATGCTCGTCGTGGTCAACACATGAGGGGCCATCACCCCACATTCTGAACTCTGGTCAGGGCCCTCCGTGCTGCTGGGGCAGGGGCGCTGGGGCCGGTCCAGGTCCTCCAGCTGCCGCCCACCTCATGCCGGGTCCTGTCCTCAAGGATGGCGGGATCTTCCCACCCATGGGCTGGCTGGGCAGCGTGGGGCAGTGGTGATTATTATTAGTGATCAGGCAGCTCTTTCCTCCCTGCGAGGAGATCTGGGGGGACTCGGGGGCTACGAGGTCCGCCTCTGGAGAGACCACACACCTAGTCCGGGGTCAGCCTTCCTCTCGGGTCCTTGTTTTCTGTGGCATTCTTCATCTTTCCATAGTTCATGCATTCTGTCAGGCATTCTAAGTTCTTCTTCTGAAGTGAGGTGGGACATGAATAATCATTTAATTAAATTTTGGGCAGAGGGCTGGCTGGGGCCCAGCGCTCCCTGAGGGGAGCCCCTGCCCCTGCCCTCAGGTGATTGGTGCTCTCTGGCCCAGGTGGGTGATCCGAGTCTCACTGGAAAGGCAGGCCGACAGGGCCTTTGGGGTGGGGACTCAACAGAGTGCACCGCATACTGCTGGCCGGAAGACATTCATGCCATATTCTCACTGGGCTCCTTAAAATCCAGGTGGTGCTGCCCAGGTTCTGTACACAGGCAGTGTGAGAACCTGCAAAACACGCGGGCATGGTGGATGGCAGCCAGGACAGGTCCCCTCTGGGTGGCTGGGGCAGGGAGCTTGGCTCAGAGAGGACAGTCTTCTCTCAGGCAGGGTGGCAGGTCTGTGGGCAGTCACCGTTTCATCCCTTATATCCTCTTGAGATCTGTGACACCACGGATCCATGGGGACTCGGTGACTTGGGCAGAGGCCCTCGTTTGGTGGCTCGTGAAGTGGGGATGCCATGAGGAGCTGCTGACAGGATGTGCAGCATGGGGCTGCACGCTCAGAGCCACCAGGAAGGACAGAGAGCTGGGCCAAGGAGGATGACAGAGGACACGGCAGCAGGGCCCACTTGGGGAAGGACAGGTCTGAGTCGCCTGCGCTCTGCTCCTGGCTCCCAGGAGCCTCAGTCACGTGGCCTCACTGCGCCAACACGTGCACCCTGTAGCCATCCCCTGGCGCTCGAATCCACTGCAGGCCACTCCCCTCCACAGCCAGCCCATTCATTCAAGTCTGTCCTCGTCTGCAAGGCTGAGCGTGGGAAATTGGATGGACTTTCCTGGGCCTGGCTATGAATCTGAGCAGCCTGCTCTCTCCATCATGTTTTAACAGCCCTCGTCTCCGAGGTCACTCCCACCTCCCAAATTCCATGATCTTTTAGAATAGCAGAGCCTCCTGCACAGTTGTTTAAATGGTAAGAATAATTGCAAAGAAAATTTAAGTGTGAAGAAGACAGAAAGCAAATGAAGAACAGTGGCCTCCATGGAAAAGCCAGTGAGCTTTCCAGAGCACACGGGAAGGGACCGCCCGGAGCTCACCCATCCTGACAAGAGGACTAGAATGCATATGCAGTCACCGGTCTGGGCTGGCTGTGCCTCTGGTGCCCTGTGAAGACCATGTAAGCAGCCAGGAAGGTTCCGGCAAGTCGACCTAAATCCTGGCTCCCAGCCCAAGCTGACGGCCATGTCTCCTCAGCCTTGGGGGAGGTGAGGGAATCTAAGACCCGAGCGAGAGAGCACACGGTGTGTGTGGGGTCCGTACCATGCCCCCTCACTGCAGCTCAAAGAGCAATGCTGCTGTTCCCTGACGTTTCGAGCCCCCCATCTCTGCTCCTCTGTCCACGTCATTCTGGACCCACTGCCACACCAGTGCCAAGAGCCCCTACTCACCAAGCCCAGCCTTGCTGTACCACGAGGGCTCCTAGGACCTCCCCAACCCCGCCTCCTCATCTCCTGGCCTTTTAAAGGGTAGAGAGGAGTGTCAGGGTTTCTAGCAATTGCAGTTATGTTTTTGTGGTGATTGGGAAGTCTCTGGCCGTGAAGCCCACTGGGGAAGTGTGCTGGGCCTGCGAGAAAAGCAAGTGAGAGCATCAGCCAGCAGCACGGAGCTCATCGATACCACCAAGCCAGGGAAAGGCAGCCGTCTCAACTCAGGAAGGTGAAAGAGGACAGTCAGTGGTGACTGTCATCATCTAGTGACCTGCTCTCTCCTTCACTCCCTCTCTTTCCTTCCAGAAGCCCTCTTGCCTCTTTGCCCTCAGGGCAGCTCTGACTTCCCAGCAGCCCGGGCCTCTGTACTGTACAGTCCTGCCAGAGTCCACGCTGGCCTCAGAGCTGGCAGTGCCACCCCTAGGCCAGACCAGGCATGTCGGGAAAGGCCTGGGATCCGGGAAGGGTGAGATCCTTCAAGCTCGAAATGACAGGAGGAAGCAGCTGAGATACAGTGGGCAGGAGGAGCTGACCCTCAGCGGCGGGAAGTGGCACAACGCTGCCATTTGACTCTGGACTCCACGAGCACTATAAACTCTCCCCGTCTGCGGAGTGTGACTCACATACACCACCGAAGCCTAAAGCCCAGTGGGGCGGGGCTCAGGAGGCCAGGGGTCCTCACTCTGTCTCTGTGAGTCTGCTCTAACAGTTTGGAATGACCCCAGGAAGGGGCCTGACTTTACGGGGGACACACTCCTGTGGGGCCTGTTTTCTGCTGCCCAGCACATGGGGAAGTCGTTTCTCCTCCACGGGCCTCACGATGGCACCAGCGCTGCCCCTGACCCCTGCCTTTGTGGTGCGTCCACTGGACTGCTCTGTCCCCTCGGCCCTGTGCACGCGTCCCCTACATGCCTCACTCTGGGACCAGGTGCAGGGGGGAGTGGAGAACAAGGAGCCAGGGAGGGAGGGTCCCCGAGGCTCTGGGTGCAGAAAGGGAGGAGCTCCAGGAGGAGGGGGAGTCATCCCTGAGCAGCTGCCCCTGTGCTGACCACCTGCCTTCTCTCCCGCTCGACCCTCGCAGTGCAGTTTGACATGATGCGTGCCTGCAACCTCGTCGCCACGGCGGCGCTCGCCGCGGGCCAGCTCACCTTCGTCCTGGGGCTGACGGGCCTGCCCCTGATGTCGGGCCTGCCCCTGATGTCGCCAGATTCCCAGTGCTGGGAGGAGGCCATGGCCGCTGCATTCCAGCTGGCGAGTAAGTACCCCCGCACCCCTGGGCAAGCAGAGTGGCCACACCCTCAGCTCCTGTCAGGGGCTGGCAGGCCTTCTAACATCACAGCGACCCCCATGGGTCATCCTCCTGCCCCACCCGTCACCGTGGGCAGAAGCAAGATGGAAACACACACACACAGGGAGGAGGAGCGCTGAGGACACAGGCAGCAGCAGGCTTTGCCTCTCTGTGCGTCCACGGGCTCCCAGCCTTCTTCCGTCTAAGAGGGTGCTGCACTCTGGGCTGTGTGCTTGCTTTCCAAAGTCTTCGGTATCTGGCACTTTCTTTGCCCCTCTGCAGCCTGGGTGGCGGGTGGCCTGGGTTCACGTTCCTCCTGTGAGGGCAGCAGCTGCGGGAGCAGTGAAGCAGCTTGCCGTGGGCAGAGGGGGAGAGCCCCCCACTGAGCTCCCACCTCCACCACCTTCCCGGCCAATGGTGTGCGAACGGGGAGGTCAGGGCACACGCGTGGTTCCCAGCCTGGCTCATCTGCACGATCCGAGATAAACATAGCTGCCTGGGACCCGCCCTCATGAGCAGTACAGACGAAGTCGGAGAACACAGTAGCGCGGTAGACAGCCCGAGCACCCACACCCTGTCCTGGCTCTAACATGGATGCACACGTGGCACCAGAATGAGACACACAACTTCCCCTGCTGCCACACGAGCGTGCTGGGGGAGAGTGCTGGGGGAGGAGAGGGAGCAATGCTTTGCTACAGAGCACGAGGCCTTGGGCCATCAGTGAATGAGCCTCTTTGGAACAATCTGGAAGCCACCATGGCCTCAGGGGGCAACTGAGGGTGAAATGTGACAGGGCACAAACACACCTCTAGTCCTGAAAGGGTGAGAGTGGTGGTGTCGTCGTAAACAATGAATGGAATGTTCCGGGACGTTCTGCACAAGTGGCCATGGAAGCCATGGAAGCTGTCCACCTGTCACCCTCAGAGAGTGGAAGGGCTTGTCTTCAGGTTTCCCCTCCACCACTGCTCCTTCTTGTTGGCTCAGGGTTAAAACAATCACGGAAACCTGGGGGAAGTCAGGTTTTCTGCTGCCTAGTGGGGACAAGTCAGATCGGTGGTCCTGTGGGAACAGACAGACGCAGTGGCCAGGGCGTGGGGGTGTTATTAGCCAACCCATCTGCCTCTCCTGCTTGGCGGGGAATGGCAGCATGTCCCAACATTGAAGGTACAGTTCCAACAACCCAGTAGAAGAAACAGCAGGAAGTCTGAAGTGAATCATTCTAGGAATAATGGATCCTGGCCCTTATCTTTCTGGAGAAATGCAATTTCCAGAACGAGGCTGACAGAGCGGCAGGTATTCATGTGCTGGAAAGCGCCCTGGGTGGGAATCGGAAATGGGCCTCCTGTGCCCTATTAATAGAAGGCGGTGTGGTCCTGAGCCAGTCACTTCCCCACAGCCTGGGCCAACTTGGGGAGGGGGGTTGCTGAGGGCTGACACGGCGAAGTATCCAGGAAAGAGCAGAGGGTTGGTGTCAAGGGGACTGGAAGTACATCTTGGCTCCATCACTCACTATCGGTGTGAACTAGGGCAAATTACCGATCCAATTCACTGATCTAATTCACACCTCAGTTTACCCAACTTCACAACAGGGGATAACGTCTGTCCCCCCAGGACTGACTTTGAGAATTAATGAGGTAGGTGGAATGGGGCCTTTGACCACTTCTGCCTCCTGCCCTCCTCCATGACTGTGGGTAGAAACACGGACATTCCAAACGACGTGACACGTTTAGGGAAATGACCCACTTGCCCTCTTTTGACTTGAGGGCTGTAAACCAGAAATGGCTTCCACAGCCTCACCGAACTCCCCATCCCCACCATGTGGATTATCTGAAATTCCATCCCTTCAAGGAGGAAGTGGAAGATTCTGAAAAAGTAACTGGAAAAGCTGGATTAAAAACAGATATTTTAGTGGCATTAAAGAAATGATAGTAACAGTTCTTGATTTTGAAAATAACTCTTTCTAGCAGGATTGCATTTCTTAAGAAATTCCTTTGAGACACTTATTTAGAATTATTAGGAGAAATATTGTGGGTTTGGTATCAAAACTGACATCTTACTTCCTGTAAACCCTTATTTCAGAACAGGATAGTGTTGCTTCCAAATAACATAGTTTAAAAAAATCCAAACAGAGAGAAGTCTCATTAACTAAAATCAAGCTGTCTTGCAGCAACACTGGGGGCACTGCTGAAGGGCTCCTGGGGGCCTGTGCTGGTGAGGTGGGGGCTGGGGGTACTGTGCTCCTGTCCCAAGCACTTCCAGGCAGCATAACCTCTGGAAAGGTTGGACCAGCCTCTGTTCACACACTGCCAGACAGGCGGAGGCCAACAGGAAAAGCCAGCAGCACTGAGCGGCAGCCTGTGGCGTTTCGGGTGGCTCTTCTTGCCTCCGCAGGCCACCTCTCCCCTCAGTGTCCGACCACCACCTCCAACAGGTCTGTTTTGCCCAAAAAGGAAATGCATTTGGCCCTGTTTAGACTCGTTTCATTGACAAACAGTACAGATGCAGCTATGTGCCTTTCTTCTATCCTGCTGCTAATTTTAGAGTTAGGTTTTTCCTGTGCTCCAGTCTGTTTTAAACAGTCAGGGAGAGACTGAAGGGCGCCAGGATATCCTGTCCCAGGAGGGGGAAATGCCTGCTAGTACCTGTTATGCAAGCGAACCTTGAGTCCCCAGCACTGTGGCCAGAGGGTGGGCAGGGGGAGAAGATGCTTATAAAAAGAGGAGGAGAGGCAGAGGGAAATAGCTGGGAGGCTGGGAAACGCTGGAACCAGCAAGAGACAGCAATACGCCAGGAAGGGCCCGGACAGGCCAGCATGAGGAGACAGAGTCCCCACTCACTCATTCACTCCACAGTCGTTTCTGGGCACCAGTCCATGCTCGCACGACGCCCGGCCGGGTCTGTAAAGGATGGTCCTCCACCCCTCACAGCTGTGGCTCCAAAGGAACCTGTCTCCGTGACATGAGGGAGGACTCGATGAAACTGCCGTTTCTTAGGTCAAACACGTGAATATCAGCCATTTTATCTGGTTTGCTCTATCATGTTCAAGCCATCACACGTAATAGTTTCCAATTTCTTTGCAGAATTTTCCAAGTGTAATTTTAATTTGCCTGAAAGTTGAAAAAATTCCTTTCTGTCCGTGATTCTACCCTGCCCCATAAGCTAAACATCCCTGTGAAAATTCCAGATCTTCCCTGTGCTAAGAACACTGTGCACATTAGGGACCCAGGGCCTGAGGCGCACAGGCCCTTGGGAGGCAGGGGTGGGCTCGGTGGCCTCCGAGAGACAGTGCAGTCACCATGGGGCAGCTCTGCGCTGTCCCCTGGGCTGCTGTCTTCCCACTTTCTCCCTTCTTCCTCCCTCTTGTGGGGCTCCCAGTAGTAACCAGTACACAGCAGAAACAAACGTCAGGCTCTTCTCGCCTCTCCTTCTGGAGACCCACTTGGGGGTGCCCAGAGCAGCCAGGCTGTGATGACACACCCGTTCTCATTCCGATGGCTGAAGACCGGCAGAGGAGCGAGAGGGACTGTAATGAGGACCTGCCAGCGTAGGGGTGAAGGGCCGTCCCGCCGCCCCAGAGCCAGCAACTGCGACGTGCCGGCCCTGCCTTGTCGGGTGTGAGTGCTCCCTGCACACGGCCTCACGCCACGCACAAGCCCACGTCTGGCTGACTTCAGACCTCCCCTCTCTCCTCCATTCTCTCATGTCCTTCTCACTGCCTCCCCTTTTTTGCAGCACCTCTTCTTTCACATCTGTGTTCTCGCTGACGTGTGCACAGAGGCACAGGCAGAAGAGGGAGAGAGGTTTTGAAGGGGGGTCAGAGGAAGTGACCTGAAAGGCAAAAAGGTCAGTCTCAGCCTCTAATTACTGCAGACACCCTCGGACCCTGCAATTGACACTTGAGTGACACCTGGAGCAGAGAAGAAAGCCTAGGGTGAATTCCGCAGGCAGCTTAGCCTGGCGGGCACCTCGGGGTGAGGTCCTTAGCTCCCGAAGGCTCCTGAGAAGGTCGGAGCTTTCCCAGGGGGCATCTGAGGGCAGAGCCCAGCTCTGGAGCAGGCCTCCTGGGTGCCACTTGGCTCTGCTCCTCGTCAGCCACGAGGCCCTGGATGCGTCTCTCTATCCGCTGTGCTCTTTGTGCTGCAGGGAGAGCTACTGCTGACCTGCAGATGCCGCGACGAGGACTGGCGTGCCGTCTTCAGTCATGCCTGCTGCTATTATTATTCTGACTTCCCACCACAGTCCTGTTGGATCACACCACATTGAAAAGTTATCACTCCCTAGACACGTCTTTTGTGCTCTCTGGTCAGAACTCGGGGCTCTCCACCTGAGCGTGGTGTGAGTGCCAGAGCCTGCCAGGCACTCCCTTGGACCACCCTCATAGGCAAACTATCCTCCTTGGCAGAATGCTGGTGGGCTCCAACATTTCCTAAATGCGACCCTCCTGCGGCTCCTCGGGTGCTCGCAGAGGACCCTGGGCCGTTGCTGTTGGCTCTGCAGGACTGACTAACCAAGTCTGGCCCGAGGCTGACATTTTTTTTTTTTTATAATTTTTTTTAAATTTATTTTTTATTCCCCCAAAGCCCCAGTAGACAGTTGTATGTCATAGCTGCACATCCTTCTAGTTGCTGTATGTGGGACGCGGCCTCAGCATGGCCGGAAAAGCGGTGCGTCAGTGTGCGCCCAGGACCGAACCCAGGCCGCCAGCAGCAGAGTGCACGCACTTAACCGCTAAGCCACGGGGCCGGCCCCGGAGGCTGACATTTTTAGGTGGGACAATCTAACAGTCATTCAGGGCTCTGTACTTGGGTCAAGTTGAGTCTTTGAAGGGCAACTCCTTGGCTGTACACCAGGCCTCCTGGGCAGCACACTGTCTAACAGAGTCTAGCCTGAGAGCACTATAGCCGCAAGCGCTCAGTTGGGTTGGTGACGTCGCTGGGGTCCCATGTGGCTCTCTGTCCTCCCATCAG